GAAATGACTTGTATCCCTGAAGATCCTTGGAAAGAATTTCTACCGAACAAACAAGCAGATACGTAACAATATTTTAAAGCTTTCAGTGCTGACTGAAGGATTCATGATGAGAAGAAACCCACTTGAAGTAAATATATATATTTATATATAGTAGAAACGGTTGATATAGGAATAGAAACTTTTATTTGAAAAGCACAAAACAAATAACAACGGTGCAAGGTTATCTTAGGACACAAACAGTTACTTCCTTTATATGTAACTGTAAAAAAAAAAACAAAAAAACACGTAAAAACACCCATAAGAACTGCAAAACACAAAATGTGAAACTCATTCTCAGCGGGATGATGACATAAGGAAGTCAAATTAATCATGAATTTATAACTTCCTTCCAGGGGAAGGATACTCAAACTAGTTTAGTAATAAAATTACTTTTTTTTTTTTTTAATATTTTGGCTATATATTCTCCATACTTGAATTTCATAGGAATTTGTATCTTGACTTGCGTAAAGCTTCAGAAGCCAGAATTTCTAGCTCTCTTACCACGAATAAAAAATTAATCACTCCGACTTCAAAGCGGATTCAAGCCGCAGGAGTGAGCAAGACTGATATACAAAGGGTTTCTCAGTTCTGCAGATTTTATGGTTTTGTAGTAAACATCTACTATAGCTATTGGAAATCACTTGTTTTTGTTTTATTTCACTCGTAATTGTACAGGTATAGGATGGAAGGTAAAAAACTGAACCGTTTTTATAGTTTTCAACCATACAAAGTTAAAAAAAAATTTCCTCCAACAGAGACTGAGGAACAAATACAGCTACACGTACAAGGTAGGAATTCATTTATAATTTATTATTAAAAATATAAATTATTACTATTAATCTTAAGTTTCGACGGTGGGTTTTGAACCGGTGTGAAAGTCTTGTTTTTGAAGTTACTGAATCGGTATGGTTATTATGACTGGGAATAGCTTAAGGTATAAAAAAACTTACCCACAACTGTATTACCTAGGTTTAAAAAAATATATGTTAATCTATCTAGAGAAACTGAATAAATTTAGGGTAAGCAAGCTGTTAGGATGAGAATAGTGCCTTTGGGGGATGATAATGAAATTGAAAGGTTTATTTCTGACAATCATGAGATTACTAAATTCTACTTTTTCATCAGTTGTTAGTAATAAAGATAGAAACATGATTGATCATCAAGATGATCACATTAATTCTGAGCTTCTTAAGAAAAAAATGAAAAGTTTCAAGAATGACAAGGTTCCTGGAACAGATATTTCCCCCATTTGGGGATTTGATATGTGAACCAATTGCTATTATCTTGTAAGACCTTGAGTAATAGATATGTTAGAGAATTGAAAGTTTGCTTAATGTTGCTTTTCTTTAAGAGAGGTGGTAAAAATTGTTCAGGTAATTATAACTTATAGGTGTATTAGTCTTACATCAGTGGTGCCAAAAGTTTTTGAAAGTCCAATGAAGAAAATGCTTTGAAAGGTCATTTGAAAAAAAAGATTACAATTTTGGTGGATAGTCAACATTGTTTCACTTGGGGACAGTCTTGCCTCACTAATATTTGGAAATTCCCAAAGAGGTTACTGCTTATGTAGATGAGGATATGGGTGTGGATTTGGTATATCTGGATTTTTCAGAAAGCATTTAACAAGGTGCTAAATAAAAGGATTGTTAAAAATTATGTCTGATTTTTTTTGGTGGGAGGGAGATAAGTTGGGTCAATAGAGAGAAAAGTAGCTGTGGTGAAGAAATCAGAGGGTTGTTACAAAGAGTTAGTCAAGCTCGATTTTGTCACAAGTGGGGTATCTCAGGGTCCAGTACTGGGACTTTTGCTTTTTTTTTATTTCCATCAATGAAGTAGATAAAGGAATGGTCATTAAATTGTAAACTTGCTGATGATATTAACCTTTTATCATCCATGGAAGTTTTTTTTCCATTACAGTAGTTAGTGTAAATGTATGAGTGGAGATGATGTCTAGCATGCATAAATATACAGATGGAGATGATGAAGTGTTAAGGTTTTGAATGTTGTTGCTTTACAAAAGGATTTAGATCATTTGGTGAGTTGTAAAAATAAGTGGCAGATAGCTTCTAATTATAATATATTCAATGTAATGCATGTAGTTATCATTGCTTAAATGATAATTTTGATGAGAATAACATTAATAGTGTTATGGAAGAAAAGGAGACCTTTATTAAAATTTGATATTACTAAATATTAGTCAATAGCACGTTTAAATAAAACACAAAGTGTATTTCATATTACTTTGAATTGTGGTTTTGTGTTAATTAGAAAAGAAGCAATGGCATTTTTAGCAGTTGAGTGAACCCTAATTTAGCCTATGTAAAAGAGTAGATATTAAAGTGACTATTGAAGCCTGAAGAACACTTAACAGAGCACACAGTTTCTCTTTATATCTTCTTCAGTTTTTTGATGAAACAAACTCCAAATTAAACTTTGAAAGACTAGTTTTCATAATATGTAACTGATTAATCAGTCTTGAATTTTTAAACATTTTGAGAATATGGTGACCATCATGTTATTCACAAATTACATACCTTATCAATGGATAAGAAATTGCTTAAATTTGCTAATGATATTGGGGTCTCAGGTATTGCTGATCTGAGGATGCTGCTGCTTTACAAAAGATTTGGTGAGTTGGGCAAATCAATGGTAGATGGCTTTTAATTGTAATAAATACAAAGTAATACATGTGGGTTATTATAATTTAAATCGTTAGTATAATTTTGACAAGAATAACCTTAACAATCTTATGGAATTAAAGGATCTTGGTATTTTAGTAGATAATTCTTTTAAATCACACAAACAATGTGCTATTTTGAATTGTAAGGCAAATAGGACTTATTTTCATAAAAAATTTAAATAACTCTAACGCGGACGTCATTTTGTTGTATAAATCGCTATTTAGGTCTTTGGAATTTTGTGTTCAGTCTTGGTCTCCATATCTTAAGAAGAATGTTGAATTATTCAAAAGAGGGATATTAGGATGATACCTGGGATGGAAGGGTTGTCATACAAGAAGAGATTAAGACTTGTGAAATTATTTTATCTTGAAAAAAGAAAATTTAGGATTTGATTGAGGTGTTTGATTGATAAGAGAATTGATAGTGTTGTGCATCATCTTTTTTTTTTTTCTGCAATGGTAAGAATGATAGGACATGGGGACAAAATATTTCAGTATTTCTGTAAATAAAATTTTATATCCTATTTGTCTTTAAACTAAAAACAGCATACTACTTGGGTGGCTTAAAAGACTTTTCAACCAAAACACCGAGATCCTTTTCTTCCATAAACTGTTAAGGTTATTCCTATCAAAATTACAGAATTTAAATTGTAATAACCTTTATGCATCACCTTGTATTTATTATAATTAAAAGCTGTGTGTCAGTTATTCACCCAACTCACCAAATGATCTAAGTCCTTTTGTAAAGCAGCAACAAACATTGGGCACTTTTCTATCTTTGTGTATTTAATTATTTAACTTTGTGAAATAGTATTTGTGCTAAGATAAACTTTATCTAAACAAAAAGTGGTTAGTCAGAGATGTTTACATTTATCCTCATTTGGTCTTTTCATGGATATCTAATTACAGAGTCAAGCTTTACACATCTAACTTACTTCTTGGATTTGCCAATTTTAGACCACTTTGTCCAAAACCTTGAAGTGAATATATATTTTAAAGTCATAAAGTGTAATTGGAAGCATTCTTTGGTTTTTACATTTATAGGTTCATCTTATCCAAAAGCAAGAAGTGGACACAGGATAGTAGCAGATAACAGTAACATGTATTCTTTTGGTGGTTATAATCCACATGTAGATAGAGAAGATGAAGACTTATTAGATGACCCATACTGGGCAGAATCCAGTCCTTTATTTAAAGAAGTAAGTAGTTGATGTTTTTATGTATACAATTAATATATTTCTGTTAAACTAATATTGGGTGCAGTTGTTTTTTGTAGTTAGTATGTTTGTTCTCATGATTTTTCCATATAGTAGGTAGTATTTATCATAAATACAACTTTCAACTAGTTTTTCTTTTCTTCCTAGCAACGTATTTTACTGTAATTTTTTGTTTTTAATCACAGTATTTATTAACTTTGTAGATGGTATTTCTGGAAATCCCATTAGATAAAACATGTATTAGTACACTTTAGTTAATGATTATATTACTCTCAGAAATACTAAGGCTTAGGAAGTGAATTTTTGTCATGAAGGAGGCAGTGTACCATATGAGTTTGGTGCATTGCTGAGGCTGGAATGGCTAAATGGTGAGGAGGGGGACCTTCCTCATCTGGGATAAGGTGTTTTAGCATCATCTTTCAGGAAATATTTTTAATGCTTTTGCTTGGTATCTGGTGCATTTTGAGACATGAATTTAAGCAACTTGACATTACTTACATTGCATCATTTTATTATTGTGCTGTAAAACTAAATTTATATTAGGTTTAGCTTCTAATTCACTACATCACATTTTATTTGGTATAATGCAGTGATGATTCTTGGGTAAATCAGGAATCAAGCTGAATGTTTGGATTATACATTTCCCAATATGCCACATCGTATTTTTTCAGTATATCTCAGTCATGATACTTAAATGAATTAGGAACCAAACTGAATGTAAATTCAGTTTTACAGCACATGAATGAAATTCAATGTGACTAATGTCAAGTTGAATCATTTTGCCATATATATGATATGTCATCCACTCTTTGGGCTAAAGAAGAATTTTGACTTTTTTTTACTTTATCATTTTTTGATGGATTCATATTTATGAAACAAGAAAAATGTGAGTGTATGTAACTGAATAATGAATCATGATAATAAAAAACTAATAAGAAATAGTAATATTTTATCACTCCATTTATTATTCTTTACTACAAAAAAAACGTTTTTTAAAATTAGTGTCCTGAAGTCTACCTCGGAGATATTCTGCCATAAAGG